TTTATTTAGGCCGCCCTCATGTAGTACTTACTACTTATTTAAATGTCTTGTTGAGGAAAAAGGTTCATGTTAGAAAGCGAGGCATGACAGGTGACCGGAAGGTAGAACAATGAGAAGATACAGTACTTCTTTGGTGCCTCCTGTTGGCCAGATGCTGTTCAAAGCTCTTTGGAGTTTGTTTTTAGACAGGGTCTCACTGTGTAGCTCTGACTGGCATGGAACTCAAAATGATCTCTTTGCCTCTGCCCCCCACCCCCCAAAAAAGATCCACTTACCTCTGCTCCCTGAGGGCCGAGAGTGTAAGTACTTTATCTGCAGTGCTTTGTTTAGCCCTGACTCCGACATAGCGACTGTTGTCATCTCACTTTTACAGACTGACAGAACGTTCAGAATGGCTAAAGTGGCTGGCCAGGTCACACAGTCAAGTAGGAAAGAGCTGGATTTGCACATTGACCACCGATGGATGATGGATCCAAAGGCATGTCAGGGAATGAGAAGGGGAACGTGGGCCAGATTGGTTGGGGCGTCTTGTGGATGAATAGGAACAACATGGTGCTGAGGCTGGATTTGAATCATGGGGGACATAGGCAGGCTTAGCGGACATTAATTAGTTTTTTTTATTTGCTATTTATTTATTTATTGCCTATGTATCCTTGGCTGTCTTAGAACGCACTCTATAGACCAGGCTGGCCTTGCATTCAGAGATCTGCCTGCCTCTAAGAGACAGGATTTCATAAGTAGCTCTGGCTACATGTGTGGAGGCAGATAAGAGGAAGATCTGTGGGAGTTGATTTCTTGCTTTTACATGTAGGTCCTGGGGATTGAACTTAGGTCAGCAGGCTTGCTAAGAAGAAACTACCCACTTGAGCCATCTCACCTACCCACAGTAGACTTTTGAGTCTTGGTGCAGGTGAGTCATAGCCAGTGGGCATGTGGGCAGAAGAGGGAGTTAGGCATTGAGATTCTGGCTCCTGTATTTTTATGGAAGAGGACACGCTAGCTCATGTCCATTGTGATTTTCCAGAGGTTTATGTGCTTGTAGACCCGTGGTTTTATGTATATATGTATATATGAATTTAATCCCTGGGTTTGTTTGATTTTGGTTTTGGTTTTTTTTTTTTTTGAGACTGGGTTTCTTTGTGTAGGACTTGCTTTGCATATCAGGCCTGCCTCTCCTTCCCTGAGCGCTGGGATCACACCTGTGTGCCCCCTCACCTGGTTTTCCTGGTTTTTCAAGACAGGGTTTCTCTTTGTAGCCCTGGCTGTAGCACTCGGTAGACCAGGCTGCTCTTGAACTCAAGGAAGATCTGCTTGCTTCTGTCTTCTTCGTGCTGGGATTAAAGGCGTGTGCCACCGCCAAGCATGCTGTCAGTCTGTTTGATCTCACAGTTTCAGAGGACTCAAAATCAAAACAAAAGAGTTTTAGGGGCTCAGGAGATGGCCCAGCAGGTAAAAAGTACTTGCTGAGTAATCCAGACCCACGGTTAAAATTGCCAGAACCTATGTAAAAAGCCAGATTTGGGGAGTTTGTGGAACAGCCAGCCTGGAGTACACAGCACAGTAGCAGAAACGAGAGACACTCTTGATAAGGCAGAAGGAGAGAAATGATTTCCAGGAGGTTGTATACTGGCCTCTACTTTTTTTTTTTTTTTTTTTTTTTTTTTGCTATGGCATGTGCACACACACTCCTAATTGATTAACTAAAAACTTCATTCAACATAGAAAACTACGAGAAATGACTAACACACATCGTGGCTCATGTGTGCGCATGTAAATTTCAGAGGCTGCTTTTTAGTTTAATTAGGCGTTTGCTCTTAATTTGGGTGGTGTCATAGGTTGGGTTCTTGGGAAGCTGACTCTGAGATATCAATTACCATACAAGACGCTTTATTAGGGAGTGTTCTTGGGATTCATACCTTCGGAAAGGAGAGGACGGAAGCGAGGTTGGGCAGAGGGAGGGGCTGAGGTGCACTGACATCTCCCACTAATAATCAGGGAGCTTCTCCGTGGGAGAGTTGGGGAATGGGGGAGGCCTTTATACCACTCCCACTGTCATTCTCAGATAATGGTCTCCGGCTGCCCCTCCCTCGGTAGAGAGCAGGTTCTGGGGCAAGGCAGTGTTCTGTAGCTGTGGGCTGCAGCTTTGACCCTGTAGGCAGCACTCCCAGCAGCTGGAGCAGTAAGTCTTTATTCCTAATGAGATACCTGGTTCAGGCATCACAGAAGGCAAACTGCAAGATCTTCAGATAATTTGTAGACCAAGGGTCCCAGCATCCAGCTGTGGATGATTTGTAAGACCCTGGTCTAGAACTCACTGTGTAGACCTGGCTGGTCTTGAACTTGCATCCATTTTCTTGCCTTGCTCCCACTAATTTTTTAAAATTTTTTATATGTGCGTGTGAATTTCAAAGGACAACTTCTCTTTTTTCACTGTGACATGGATTCTGGAGACCAAACTTTGGTGGTTATTCGTGCATCCTCAAGTGGGAAGTGCCTTTAACTACTGAGCTTTTAATCATATCCCCAGGACTTTCCAGTCTTACGATTTAATTTCCATATCTGTTGTTACACTTGAGTGTGAATTCAACATTAAAATTATAATGAATTTACGCAAAGTCACAGTATTAGAAATAACTTATAGATCAATGAGTGTTAACTTTTTAAGAGTAACATCCATGCTGGGTGGTGTTGGCCTCTAACCTAAGCACTTGGGAGGCAGAGGTGGGTGGATCTCTTGAGTTGAGGCCAGCCTCTACAGAGCAAGTTCCAGGATAGTCAAGGCTACACAGAGAAACCCTGTCTCTTTAAAAAAAAAAAAAAAAAAAAAAAAAAGAGTGACATCTGAGGGGCTGCAGAGATGGCTCAGAGGTTAGGAGCCATCTGGTCTTGCAGAGGATCCAGGTTTGATTCCCAGCACCTATAACTTTCACACTCCCCTGTAATTAGCCTCCTGGCTCCTCATACCTCTACCCCCAACCCCCACTACTTTTTTTTTCTTTCTCGTTTTAGCAAGTATGCAATTCTAATGAGGTGCTCTGAGATCAACTCTAGTCCTTGCCTCGCTTCACAGCTGGCTCTGTGAGCTTGTGCACCTGTCTTTACTTGTGGTCTGAGTTTCTCATGTAAGATTAGGGTAATGACTCTTGTCATGCTGATATGTCATGCTTGTTTCAGGGATCAAACCATGTAGCATCTCTGGCAATACTTTAAAAAGCAGCTCATGTCCTCCAAATGTCAAGTAGCAGTTTTATTCATTACCCGTCCTTCTTCCTCTCCCCCCGCCCCCCTTGCCTCCAGCTTGCTGGCTTCCTTCCAGGATTGTTTTGACGAGTGGCTGCAGTGTTTTGTGGAGCTATGTCTGAACCGTGAAATGTTATTCTGGAAGCTCCCTTTGGACCAGTGGGGATTTAATTAGAGTATTGGGAGCCATAGAGGAAGCTATTAAAAATAGAACTTGTATTTGAAAGAAATGTCTTCTTTTTGGGGGAGGGGGGATGTTTCAAGACAGGGTTTCTCCGTGTAGCCTTGGCTTTGTAGACCAGACTGGCCTTGAACTCAGTGATTTGCTTGCCTCTCCCTCTCCGGTTCTGGGATTACAGACTTGCACCACCGCGCCTTTCAAAGAGTCTTATTTCCACCGATAGGAGTGGTACTGGTAGAACACGTTAAAAATGTTCAGGGCATGTCTCTGACATAAACTCAGTGGCTGGCTCTTTGACCTCCCCCCTACCCCCAAGGGAGGAGCAGCCTTGCCAAGCCACAGTTGAGGACAATGCAGCCAGTCCTGATGAGCTGGTAAGCTAGGGTCAGATGGAAGGGAAGGAGGCTCTCCCCTATCAGCGGACTTGGAGAGGGGAATGTAAGGAGATGAGGGAAGGAGGGTGGGATTGGGAGGGAAGGAGGAAGGGGGCTACAGCTGAGATACAAAATGAATAAACTGTAATTAATATAAAAAATAAAATTTTAAATAAAAACAAATGTTCAGGGCAGGAAAGCCACGCTTACTTGCCTGTAATATGGATGCTGCCAGCAAAAGCGGAAGAGCTGGTCTCTGGGGAAGTGGTGTCCCTTGCCCATGCTCTTTCTCTCCCCACCGAGTCAAATAGCAATAACCCTGATCTTGAAATGACTTTGGGCCATTCAAGCAGGGAAGCATGCTAAAGTCTATTTACAAACTGATACGAGCAGTTCCTGAAACTCACCAAAGTAGATGACCAGATCTAATCTGAATTCCGTGAAAATTTTGAGACGCTCAGGGTAGACGTAGTGGACCCAGAAGAACTCAAATCACTTGGCTGAGGCTAGACTGTCCCCAGGGCTACACTGAGGAGAACCCTATCTCTGCACCCAGGGTTCATTTCTTGCCATTGAAATTGCTCGGAACTGGGAAGGTTATAACAGAGCGGTTTCCGGCAGTGTTCGGGACAAAGGAGATAAAGGAGCTGACCCCAAAGAAGAGGAAGCTGAGGAAGTAGCTGATAGTGGTGGAGGAAAAGAGGAAGGAGTCAGCAGAGAAGGAGAAAAGTAGAGAACTAACCAGGGAGGAGAAAAAGCTAAGAAACATGTCCCAGCTGAACCCACAAGTATCGGGTGCTATGGGCGCAGACCCCTTTGGTTAAATGGTTGCCCTTGCACAGATGAAGGACTCAGGACAGTTTTCTAGCTAGTAAGAAAAGCTACCCTGGGCATAATGGCTACACACAATAGTCTCTTAGCTAACTGTTTCTTGATACCCTGTTTCTTGGCTGTAAATTCCTTTTGATTTGTATTACTTAAAAAAAAAAATATTCAGGGCAGCCAGGAGGTGGTGGCTCAGGCCTGTAAGGGAAGCAGAGCAGGGAAAATGTTCAGGGTGCCGGCCAGCTTGACTCTCCCTTGACCTTAAGTCCTCAGCTTCATCTTCGAGATCTGTCTTTTCTTCCCACTTCACGGCAACTCTGTCTCCTTCTGATGAGGTCCCTCTCCTCTTTGTTATTTTTTATTTTATTTTATTTTTCCAGGCTCTTCGGTGCAAGGCAAGGGTTCCGTATACAGTTTTAAAACAGACGTCCAAGTCCCTGAGAATGAACGTGAGTGGCCAGAGCTGTGGAGGGTTAGGGCGGGCTCGGGGAGGCATGCATTCTGTTGTGCCGTTTGGCGGCTACACCTTTCTCTCACTTTGATCCTGTCTGCAGCCGTCAAGTTGCCTTGCACTTACTCTGGCTTCGCCTCTCCCCGAGTGGAGTGGAAGTTCGTTCAAGGCAGCACCACTGCCCTTGTTTGCTACAACAGCCAGATCACAGGTAACTTGGCCCCGTGGTTGAGATTTCGGAGTAGCTAACGCTGCCCGGCCTGGACTCCAGAGGTGGGCACACCCTGGAGCTCAGGGCTGCCACATTCGTCCTCTCTGGGCTCTCCCGTTGACTGCGTCTCTCCTGTCTCTGCTTCCGTCTCCTTGTAGCCCCCTATGCAGACCGAGTTACGTTCTCATCCAGCGGCATCGAATTCAGCTCCGTGACCCGGAAAGACAGCGGCGTGTATACTTGTATGGTTTCGGAGGACGGTGGCCAGAATTATGGGGAGGTCAGCATCGACCTCACTGTGCTTGGTATGTGCCATGTCGCCTCATGTAGGCTTAAAGCTTCCCTGAACCTGATGGCAGACTGTTAAGCTTTAGACCTTGTAGATGGTGAGACTGTAGAGGGGCGGGCCCCCTGGCTTGGTAGGAACTAAGGGTATACGGGTACCTCTGATTGGTTGAGAGTGTCGTCATCCTCCTCAGTTACCTACACTCACATAACCAACCCTCTTGCCCTTGTATTCACCTTCATTTTCTTTTCTCTCTCCCTAGTGCCTCCATCCAAGCCGACGGTCAACATCCCCTCCTCCGTCACCATTGGGAACAGGGCAGTGCTGACATGCTCAGAGAAGGATGGTTCCCCGCCTTCTGAGTATTCCTGGTTCAAGGATGGGATGTTCATGTCTACAGATGCCAAGAAAACCCGTGCCTTCGTCAATTCTTCCTACACCGTTGATCCAAAGTCAGGGGATCTGGTATGAAAGGGGTGAGGTGAAGGACGGGGGCACATTCATGGAAGCCCTGAGAGGGATGACAGCAGCGTCGGGGCTGATTTAAGGTCCCGAGAACTAAGGTGCTTGGCTTATTCGAGCAAGAAGCCAGTTTGTTCTCTTCCCTCCAGATCTTTGATCCCGTGACAGCCTTTGACAGCGGCGAATATTACTGCCAGGCACACAATGGATTTGGGACGGCCATGAAGTCGGAGGCTGTGCACATGGATGCTGGTGAGTCGGATGTGGCTTCAGCCTCATTAGAACCTGGGACGTGATCAGAAGCTGATTTTCGTGTGGCTGCTGACAGCATCGTCAGCACCACAGCTGCTTATCCAGGCGACCGACCTCCCCTTTGTGTCTCACAGTGGAACTGAATGTGGGGGGCATCGTGGCAGCTGTCCTCGTGACACTGATCCTCCTGGGAGTCTTAGTTTTCGGCATCTGGTTTGCCTATAGCCGAGGATACTTTGAAAGTAAGTATTTCCCCTTGGAAGCTTGCTTGTTTGTGATCTCACAGGCTGGTCTCTAGCTCACAACGGTCCTCCTGCCTCAGCCTGTCAAGTGCCGAGATTATAGGCATGTGCCTCTCTGCCCAGCTGGAAGCTCCTTCCTTTATCCTTGCGTGGTTCGTGGTGGCTGAGTACGGACCACACGCCGTGTTCTGGTGCCATCTCCCCAGGGAACATGGTTTCCTCATCTAGCTCAAATCAAGAAGCACTTACTAGGGCCGGAGAGATGACTCAGGGGTTAAGAGCACGGGCAGCTCTTCTAGAGGACTGGGGTTCGATTCTCAGCACCCACATGGCAGCTCACAACTCTCTGTAACTCCAGTTCCAGGCTGTCTGGAGTCCCTCATACAGACTCATGCAGGCAAAACACCAATGTACATAAAGCAAAAAATAAATTATTAACAACAACCACAAAGAAAAGAAGCACATACCACTTCCCCCTAATTTCCATGCTATGCTGTGTTCTATTCTGAAAGCAATCATGATTGTAGCTGGTCTTTGCTACTTGTGGGTCCTTCTTTTTTTTCCACCCTTTACCTCCTCCTACCCCCGTTTCATCCCCTAATAGAGGAGAGAGAGGAAATAGGAAAATTTTTGATTCTAATTTCTTTTGTTTCTTCTTTGAGAGTGACTGCTAAGAAACCAAAGCCAAAAAAATAAATAAATAAATAAATAAATAAATAAATAAATAAAATAAAAAATAAATAAATAAAATAAAAAAAATAAAAAGAAACCAAAGCCTACCCCCCCTGAATGAACAATAATCATCCACTTTACCTCAGGGTCCTAGCATTTATACACTCTCTGAAAAGTTCCCAGAATTCCAAACATCACACAGCCACAAAAACTATCTCAGCTGGCAAAACCACGCCTCTAATAGAGCGAGAGGCAAATCATAGTCAGCTGGTGTGGACAGTCCAAAGCAGCCCCACATCCCCACACCTGGGATTAAAATGAACACATGTTCTTATAATAACATTTTGTGTGTGTGTGTGTGTTTAAAGAAGCCAAAATTGCAGAATTGTCACTACATAGGATCGTTTTTCCTTTTTTCTTTTCCAGGAGCAAAGAAAGGGTGAGCCTGATGTCCCAGTGTTCTCTGATAAGAGCCTGGCTATGCATGGTTTGGAGCTGAGCTGAGCCCTAGATGGGGGGAGTGGGGGTGGAGAGTGAAGCAGAAGAAGCTGTTTTGGAGGGAATGATAAGTGGACTTCTGTCCCTGTCTCCTGAACTTGTCCTGTCCCCCGTCAGCACCTTCCTTCTAAACGCTCCGTTTTTCTGCGACGTTTTCCATTCTGGCCCCTGATGTTGGTGAGGGCACATTCATTGCTAGGGCCTGAGCATCTCCCATTTCTGGTTTGCCTCCCAGGACTGCGCCGAGTAAGAAGGTGATCTACAGCCAGCCAAGTGCTCGAAGTGAGGTGAGTGTGCCTGCCCTGAGGAGGGGAGGCCTTTCCCATCAGGTGGATGTTTGCTAGCCTGTTAGTGTGTTCATGAGCAAAATGGAGTTGACTGGGTGTTTTATTTCGCCAGGGGGAATTCAAACAGACTTCGTCGTTCCTGGTGTGACCTGCTGTGGCTCCTCTGTTGTCCACCTGCCTTACTCAGGTGCTGCAGGCTCCGGCTGCTGGCTGTACCTGCACAGGATGCCTTCATTGTCTCCTAGGTTCCACGGGACCCCTTGCTTTTGTTTTAGCTAGGATATGACTTTAATAATGTCAGATACTTCTCTTTCCTGCCCTACCTTTCCTACCACCACTGGGTGACCTGAAACTAGTTACAAAGTCTCCATTCCCTGTTCCTGTGTGGGAGTGGACTTTTGAGTTCTAGACTAGACAGCAAAAAAACGACTGGGCTGACAGGAACCCAAAATGAGTACCTGGCTGTAATGGCCATTGAATAAGGACTTTAAGCCTAATTCCCCAGCCTTCTCCTCCCCTGATGAGGATGGGTGCCAGCTGCTCCAGAGTGGGGACTGGAGAAAGGAGGGGCTGACCTCAGGTCTCCAGGCTCTGGAGTCTGCTCCTCTGTCTCCACAAAATGTGCCACTGAGATGCTCCTCCTGGATACAAGCAAACTGATACCGTGTCTATAAAAGGTGGGAGAGCTCAGTTAACTCCCAAGAGACTTGGAGTAAGAGATTTAAACCGATCTAAAGAAAAGGCTGGAATGGGTAGGGCCGTCAGTCAGTCTTCATTTGGTAGGATCTACTGCACAGACCCTTTTAAGATGCGGATGTGTACATTATAGTCTTGGCTCTTTGGTGGGCTGGGCTGCGTGCGTGGGGTGTGTGTGTGTGTGTGTGTGTGTGTGTGTGTGTGTGTGTGTGTGACAGAAAAAAGGGGGGAGGGCGAGACTGAGCTTAATTGTATAGTGAAATTGGTTGCTCTATGGAAGGGCTTCCTAGCTCTTTGTGAAGGTTGTGTTTCTGTGTGTTTGTATTAGAAAGATGTTGCTGGAAATAAAAACTTGATTTGTCAAACTGCTTATTGTTGGAAGTGGGGGAATGAGATCTTTAAAGGGACTCTGGGCTACTTTGTATAAACAGGAAAACACCTGATGGTTCTGCTTTTCAGCAACTTGTGGCTGGTCCCAGGATTGTGTTCTCAGCTGAAGGCAGAGCTTCTGGCTACCGCAACCTAGTTCCACAGCCTCCTGTCCCTAGGGTGCCAGGGCTCCTGTGAGTCCTGGCAAGTCGGGGAAGAAAGTGCCCATCCACCCTCCTGTCCGATGTATGCAACGAACATCCTTAAGGCTTCCTAGGGGCCATTCTCCAGTCACTTGAAGAACCACTTTAATGTTTGAGATAGCAGGAATTAGCAAGATAGGTCTGGTGGTCTTTCTCTCTTCCATCTGGAACCCTTTCAGCTTTTGGAAACTAAGCCGTCACGTAAGAGTCTTCCATCAATAGAGTTTTCCAGAGATAATAAAATGCAGTTGGACAATAAAAGAAAAAAAATTGGAACAGTTCCGTAAAGATAAAGACTTTTTCACCAGGCATGGTGGTGCATGCCTTTGACCCTGGCCAGCACTCGGAGGCAGAGGCAGGTGACTGTGAGTTCAAGGCCAGCCTGGTCTACAGAGTTCAGGACGGCCAGGGCTACAAGAGAAAGCCTGTCAATAAAGGTTGTGTGTGTGTGGGGGGGGAGTTTTTCAAGTATGTTTCAGTTGGTTGTGGGGTGGGAATGGGGCTGATGCATTGTCCCTTCACTCTTTGAGATAAACTTACTCCCTCAGGTACTTTATATGAGTATGAATCAGTCTTGGAGTTAACCTCTCAGCCTTCTACATGCCTTGGGAATGCCATGTCTGCCTTCATTTTACAATGTCAAAACTAATTTTTGTAATAAATGTTTATTTTTCATGTTGATTTTGTTTAAATCCTGAAGTTCTGCAGTAAGAGGATTGGGACTCTTGGGACGGAGATAGAGCTGAGTGCAGTAAGAGGATTGGGACTCTTGGGACGGAGATAGAGCTGAGTTAGTAAAGGGCTTGCTTAGCATGCCTGAAGCCCTGAGCTGGATCCTCAGCTCTGCACCTTTCTGGTCACCTCAGCCTGATTTCTTGCAGAAATCACCAGCTTAGGGGTGGCAACACCCACAATACCAATCAGTAAGTAAGGTGCCCTACAGGCCGGTCCACAGCCAGACCTTAATGGAAGTATTTTTCCCAGTTGAGGGACCCTCTTCTCAGAAGACTATAGTCTGTGTCAAGTTGACGTAAATCCAGCCAACATAGTAATTTTTAAAAAGCTCTTTAACTTCTTAAGCTTTTCCAGTGTAAACATTACCCTTTCTCTGGTGCTGGCTGTGAAAGTCGGGTATCAAGCCGGGCGGTGGTGGCACACATTTTTAACCCCAGTACTAGGGAGACAAGCAGCTTTCTGAGTTCTAGGCTAGCCTGGTCTACAGAGGGATTTCTAAGAGAGTAGCACAGAGAAGCTCTGTCTTGAAAGAAGGAAAGAAAAGAAAATCCAGCATGAAATGGAATAAAACTGATTTTTTTTTCTTTTTGTTTTTTTTTGAGACAAGGTTTCTTTAGGTAACATCCCTGGCTGTAGACCAGGCTGGCCTCCAACTCAGAGAATCTGCCTGCCTCTCCCTCCCCCAGTACTGGGATTACAGGCAAAACCCGACACACTCACCTAGATCCTTTTTTCGAACATTGAACTACTAGTATCACTAATGCCCTTTCACGGGTACAGAGAAGCCAAGGAGCTTGCCCAACTTCACATTCCATTGTATCCTGAGTAGAGAGAGGATTGTAACTAAGAGTTTGCTACTTTGTGGACTCTTCTTTCTCTCTTCCACCCTTCCCCACCCCTTCACTTCTTCCTTTTCAGCCCCCTAACGCTAGATAGGAGAAAGGATAGAGGGGAAAAGGTTGTTGTTAAAGTTAGACAACTTCCTCCTGTTTAGGGGTGTCAGGTTCCTTGGGGCAAGTTTGGTCTCTGCCATCAGAATATCTAATTTCTTAGTTCTTTGCACAGGACTACTTGACAAACTGCAACCATCCAGCCACCAACAAGCCACCCACCTATCGGGGCCCTAGCATTTAGGTAGCCTCCGAAGAGTCCCCAGAATTTCCAGATGTCACACAGGAACTACTGTAGCTGGCAGACCCATGCTCCTGCCCCCGAATGAGGTAGCTGCTGTGAAGCAGCCCCATCTCCCCACACCTGGGATTAAAATGAAAATATCCCCATATTTCTGTTTTTTTAAAGAAACCAAAATTACACAATTCTCACTCCACATGAGTACCTAGAAGAAGATGTTTTGGTAAAGACTGGAACCACACCCATTTCTCCCTCTTTAAGAGTTAATCCAAATGGGCCTGTAAATCAGGAAGCTGGAAGGGACTTGAAGGAAATAAAGGGGATGTAGTTCTAGTGGAGGAGCTCGCCAGACAAGCTCAAGGTCCTGGGTTCAATCCCCAGTCCCTTAACCAAAACAGCCAGTTGTGGCCCATCCCTGTACAAAGGCAGGAAGATTAAGAATTAACGGTTTTGGGGTTTTTTTTGTTTTTTTTTTTTTCAGCCCAGGTGGGCAGTGGTGGCACATTTCCTCTAATCCCAGCACTCGGGAGGAGAGGCAGGCAGATCTCTGTTAGTTTGAGGGCAGCCTCCTCTACAAAGTGAGTTCAAGATGGCCATAGCTACATAGAGAAACGCTGCCTTGAAAAGCCAAACAAAACAACGGATTCACCAGGGCATCAGCCTAGGCTACATGAGACCTAAAATAATAACTAATAATAATAAAGGCTTCATGAGAAATAAAGTTTGGCATAATGCTCTACTCACACTATGAATGTTTTCCTCCACACTGGTCCTTTTGGTCATTGATCATCCATGAGGCTAATACACATCTGTCTTTTGTGGTCTACATCTTCTGAATTCATTTGCTAGAAAACAAGCCAGACTGTCGTAGGGTGTTGTAAATTACTAATATTTATTATTAATATATCTTTTAGTTAAGCAGTTGTTATTCCTAAACCAGCTGTATAACCAAATCGCCACACAGAGACTAGGATTTATTTAATTAACCTAGAGCACAATGCTGGGCAATAGTTAACTCCATCCTAAACCTCCAAGCCCGCATAGTTTCCTACCATTTAGGTTTCCTACATCTTACTTGCTTTTAGTCGTATCTTAGGTCGGGATCATCCCTCCTCATGGTTCCTAGTCCTGTCCTGCAGATCTGTTATCCTCTCTTCCTCCTTCTCCCTCAGGACCAGGATGTCCCACCCTATTCTCCCCATTGTAGTTTTAATGACAATACAGAGAACAAATGGCGGCATTCTTACACAAATTTGGGACAGGTGATGCTTAGAATAAGCATCACAATGCAATGTCCTGATTGGAACCAGATAGTGGGGGAGAGAAATCAGTGTTTAAATGAACAAGGGTAAATGGTATACATTCCACAACAATATTTTACCAACATTAGGGTTTTATTGTTAAGAGACAGCATGACCACAACTTTTTTTTTTTTTTTCTTTTGTTTTCAAGACAGGGTTTCACTGTGTCTTGCCTGGCCTGGAACTAACTCTGCAGACCAGGCTGGCCTCGAACTCGCAGAAATCCACCTGCTTCCGCTGGGATTAAAGATGTGCACCACACCCACCCTCACCACACCCCCGCTGGCCACAGCAACTTTTTTTTTTAAAGATTTATTTATTAATTATACAGTATTCTGTAGGCACACTACACACCAGAAGGGGACACCAGATCCCATCATAGACGGTTGTGAGCCACCATGTGGTTGTGGGAATTGAACTGAGGACCTTTGGAAGAACAGCCAGTGCTCCTAACCTCTGCACCCACCACAGCAACCCTCATAAAGGAAGACTTTTACTTGGGGCTGGCTTAGAGTTTCAGAGGTTTAATCCATTGCCAAGGTGGGAGCATGGCAGGCAGACATGGTGCTGGGAGTTCTTGATCTGAGGAGACTGAGGAGACTCCACTTTGGGTGGAGCTTGAGCACAAGAGACCTCCAAGCCCACCCCTACGGTGACACATTTCCTCCTACAAGCCCCACCCCTCCAACAAGGCCACACCTAATAGTAGCACCCTCCATGGGCCAAGAATTCAAACACGTGAGTCCCTGGGGGCCAAACCTATTCAAACCACCACACTGAGATCCTACAAGGTATTTTCTTGATGTGCCTTTGTGTGTTGTGTGTTCATGCAGATATGTGCATGCTTGTATGTGTGAATACTTGTGGAGGCCAGAGAGCAATGATAGGTGTCTTTCTCAGTAGCTTTCTGACTCCCTGAACCTAAAGCTCACCAGTTTGGCCACCACCCAAGCACTGGGTTTACAGATGTGTGCTACGTGAGCCTCGCCTGTATGTGGTGTGTAGGGTCAAGATCAGAATTCAGATCCTCCCATTTACTGACAAACACTGTACTAACAGCCAGCTCACCCGCCCTCTTGTCCTTTTTTCCCCCCCTTTATAAAAAACAGGGTCTTACTCTAGCGTAGCCCAGGATGGCATCGAGCTCCCTGTAATCCTCCTGTGTCAGCCTTCCAAGTGCTGAGGTTACAAGTGTGAGCCATCATGCCCAGTTCATTTCCTTATATTCTTTCATGTCTCTTAGTCACTGGCCTTTTGCTGCGGACACCACGAACAAAGCAGCGCTTACGAGAGAAAGCATTTTTACTGGGGGCTCGCCAGCAGTTTCAGAGACGTAGTCTGTTACCGTCGTGGTGGGGAGCATGGCAGCGCAGGCAGGCACCGGAGCAGTGGCTGAGTCCTGATCCGCCTGCGCCATAGGCAGAGAAATTCTGGGCCTGATGTGGGTTTTTGAAACCTCAAAACCCACCCCCAGCGACATACTTCCTCCAGTAAGGCCACGCCTCCTAATCCTTTTCAAATAGTGCCACTACCTGATGACTAAGCATTTAAATATATGAGCTTGTGTGTGTGTGTGTGTGTGAGAGAGAGAGAGAGAGAGAGAGAGAGAGAGAGAGAGAGATTGAGAGAGAAAGATCTCTCCTATAAGTACCGGCTCTGTTATGGGCTCATGCGCTTAGCTCTACAGGGTCAATTATATTGAGTACTGCCTGGGTGTCCTTGCTGAGTTTCTACCCCTTTCAACCCCCTTTCATATGTGAGCAAAGGGTTTCTTGGAGGCCAGAAGCTTCTCTTGAGGTGGCTAACGGAAAGTGGTTGCATCTAAGATGGCTCCAGATTGGCTGCTGGAGAGCCTCTGGCCTCATGTTGCTATCTGCATGCAAAATAATGAACCCTCCAAGCACTGCTGGCTGACAGTTGCCATGACAACAACAACAGAAAGAACTATATAAGCAGAGAGAAGAGGGGCAGCCCAACTTAATACCAGAAGACTATGACTCCCTGCCTAGTCTGTCTCTGTCTCTCTCTCTCTAAGGGGTGGATTAAGATGTTTTCTCATGTACCCCAAGCTGACTTTGAACTCACTGTAGTTGAAGATGATCTTGAATTCTTGATCCTCCCACCTTCATCTCCTAACTTCTGCTTTCTCTCCTTTTTTCTCTTCTCTTCTCTGTCTTTCACACTGGGTCTCACAGTTCGGCTTTGACTGACCTGGAACAGGCTAGGTGGCCAAGTTTTTGCAAACCTCTTCCCTGTTGCCTGCGTGCTAGAACAGCTCCTTCTCCTTTCTTTTACTCAGTTTCTGAAACAACCATGCCCAATGGCTGGGGTCGGGGGAGGTGGCTCAGTGGGTAAGAGTGCTTACTGAGCAAGCAGCGAGCAAAGACCGAATCCTGAACACCCACATGAAAACCAGATGTGGTCTATAACCCCAGTGCTCTGGGGGCCGAGACAAGAGGAGACTGGTGAGAGACCCTGCCTAAAGAGAGTAAGATGGAGTTTGACAGAGGAAGA